GGGCTGTGGCAGGATCGGCCCCGGCACATTTATGTCATTCCGGTTTTATTAATTTACCGTTGTTAAAACATTTTTTTTTCCCGAAAGACTGCTGTTAGACTTGCTGTCAGTGTTTCAAATGAGAATATCTATTTTTGTGTTTAAAAAAAAAAATTCCCTCACAAATCAGGGTCTCTCAGCATCCTGAATTTGTCTTAAAATACATGAGGGTATTCAAATACATTTATTAGATTAAATTATGGCTTTTAAAATTATGCTCAGGTCACACTTCTGAACTTTTTTCTGTCAATACAGTTTTTCAGATGTTTTTAAATGTAAATGCAATTGAGTCTTCATATTCTGCCTGCTGTGGGATAAGAGAAAAACAGAGCAGTAGCATTTAGGATAAGATCTTGTGAATTTGTAATGCTGATGTGGCATGCTGATGGGTGGCCCTCAGAATTCAAATTACAATTTCAATTAAATTAGGGAAGGCAAAGATGTGGTATTTTCCAGACAGCCCGAGTTACTGACGTGATCATTGTACATCATGGAAATTGTGTTTAGTGATAAAGCTCAGGCCTCACCCTTGTTGAGAAAGAACTTTTCTGGCAACGTAAGCAACTCCAATTTTTCTGCGCGTTAAGAATATCTATATATTTTTCTACTTATATGGACATTTTGAGAGTCTCAGTATTGATGTCTCTTCAGGTTCGCTAGAGTCTTTGCTGTCATGTCTCTGCTTAGCAATCTCTTTTTGAGGCTTGTTCTCTTCCTGTTTAAACCTGAATCAATTAAAATTTGAATAATGAACATTGTGAATTGTAATGACGTCCCAATTAGAGCAAGAAACTTGCCAGAATGTAGTATTGCAATTAAATTCCTACGGTCTGGAAGAAGCAAATACTTTGCGGAAGAAGCAAATACTTTGCTTCATTGGTTTAGTAGTAGTTCCCTGTCTTCTGTAAAGTTTTAATTGTTACTATAAGACACGTGGTTAATGTAAGCTTTTCGTGGAATAAAAAAAGCTTGGAGATGATGTGATGATGTGATAGAAGCATGACAACGTGTAATACTGTAGTAACAATGGGAATCAATGTGCGTGAAGTTAGAAACACAGAATCGTTAAAGTTGGAAGAGACCCTTAAGATCATCGAGTCCAACCGTTAACCCAGCACTGCCAAGCCCACCATTAAACCATGTCCCTAAGCACCACCTCTACCCGTCTTTTAAATACCTCTAGGGATGGGAACTCAACCACTTCCCTGGGCAGCCTGTTCCAATGCCTGACTACCCTTTCGGTGAAGAAGTTTTTCCTAATATGAAACCTAAACTTTCCCTGGTGCAGCTTGAGGCCGTTTCCTCTCGTCCTATCGCTTGTTACTAGGGAGAAGAGACCAACTCCCACCTCGCTACAACCTCCTTTCAGGTAGCTGTAGAGAGCAATAAGGTCTCCCCTCAGCCTCCCCTTCTCCAGGCTAAACAGCCCCAGTTCCCTCAGCTGCTCCTGATGAGGCTTTTTCTCTAGACCCTTCACCAACTTCCTTGCCCCT